AGGAATGTCTGCCTGGATTTGGATGCACAGCTAAGACAACTCCATGCTTCCATCAAGAGATTTCCCTTTTCAAAAGTTGGGGCCAGCTTCATCATCAGTATGGGACACCGCCAGATGGCAAGAGACTCTGGCTACAACAGCAATACAGAAGCAGAGCACTTGTGTTTTGTAATTCCTTTCATGTTTTGAAGCAGCCAGACCACAGTTTAGCAAAGGATCAGAGTGTGGCTGGGGACAACCCACTCAGTGCTTCTGCAGCCGCTGCTCTGAATGGTCCTAGGAGGGACACAAGACTTAATGCTGTAGGATTGTCAGACAATGGGGCCTCATGGGAGACAACCAGATCATTGCCTCCCTTTACAGAAATAAGATCTCAGTGCTCTGCTTAGGCAGAAGCATTTAAATATAAAGGCTATATTTACCTCACTCAAAATAGGAAGATATCTTTTACATATTGATACATACGAATAGTATGTATTTGGTTATGTATCTGTCTATCCAGGTAGATAGATAGTCAGAAACACAGTTTCAGAGAGAACCCAAAACAGAGAAGCTGCTACTTGGGTCTAGAAGCTGCCCTACATCTAATACAGCAGCCTGCTTCACAAGGAGTCTTACTTAGTGCAGTCCAGGATTCCTGAGTAGGTGTCCTCATTCACTCCTCTCTGCAAGGACTGCAGCCGTGTTTTGATCACTGGGGAGAAAGAGAAGAGAGACAGTGGTGAGCGCTGGGAATGTAGCAGACTTCAGCAGGCAAGAGCCACCTTGAAAGTAATATATTTGAAACACGGTCAAAACGAGATAACCACAAACAGACCATTTTCATATATTCATTAGCAAAATGGGAAAACAAACCGTTTAAAAATTCCTTTAAAAACAGATAAAAGAAAAGTGCAGCCACCCAAAACCCAACCCCTCCCATAAAACATACAATTCTGCTCTTATATTTCTTTACACCTTGTAATCTGTGCAATGCTGGGGAGAGAGGAGTTACTTTCTGGTATTTTTCACAGTGGAGGACCTGAGTTGGTATTTAAGGCAGATGCTGTGGGAGCAGGAAAAAAGGCCATAGATCTGAGGCTCCCTGATTGTCCATGACCATGTGAAGAAAACATTATCTGAGCTGAAGGCAGCTCAGACAGCAGAGCTCCCCTCCTGTATCTCCCTGTGCACTCAGGCTGTGAAGAGGCTAGCAGGGTCACCCTCCTCCTCACCTAGCTCACCTGTGGGCCTCTGACTCCTGTCACTCAGTACCAGGCCACCAGCACAGGCTATTTGAGACTCACCATCACAAGGATTGACAACCACTGCAGCCGTACTGCCAGCCACACACCCGGAGAGGAAGGACACATAGAATGGAGCCTTGACATTGGCATCTTTCTGGCCCAGCTTGTTCAGGTTTGCAAACAGCGGGAAGTAAACAATGGAGAACGGGACATCCCTGGGGTGGGGAGGGAGGGGAAGAAAGAACAAGGATAAGCAAGTAAGTGCAGGACACTAACAAACTGAGCATCAAAGGAAGGGTTGAAAACATCATGTGTTGGCAGCATAACCAGGAGTGCAACACAGACATTCCAACTCAGTGATTCCAATGCAGACAGGAGCAAAAATTTAGCAGAGGCAAACCTGACTGCACAAAGCACAACAAGCCCAAGGAAGGCATGCAGCCTTGTGAAGACAGTGGCCTCCCACTGATTTTTCAACATGCAAATAGAAGACCCCAGGACATTCAGAGTTTGATAATTTTGTCCACTTTTGTTAATTACGAGAGGTTTCTTACTCTGCCCCCCATGCCATTGGGTGTTGCTTTAGTTCTGCCTTTATTAAAAATAGAGTCACTCTGTGAAAGCCAAGAAGGACAGAGTGTCAGAGTGGGCACCAGTCCTTGCATCCAACATGCTCCATGGGCCAGAACCCATTTCACACTCTGGAGATTCAGGCTGGCAGTTTTGCTTTGCTAGCTCTCAAGTCCTTCTCTACTGTGTTAAAATATGGATCATGGAGGGAACAAAACCCTTCCACAAAAAGCAGCAGAATTAAATCTTCCAGGAACAAAAAGGCAGCCTCCCTTGTTTCCATGACCTTCCCTTCTTCAGAGTGCAAAACCTGTGCATGGAAACCAAACCAAATCAAACCAGACCCATAACCCTTGGAGCCAACACCCCCTTTGCAGGCTCATACCCTTGTGTTTTAGGTTCAGAGCTGGGAACACTGGCACTCTGTGCTCAATCTCTTGCCATCCTACCTCAGCAGCGTGGCTCCCAGGCCCTTGTAGAGTCCTGCGATGCCTTTGCTCCTCAGCAGCTCCCTGGTTATCTGTGTTGCTGTGGTGCGTGTTTCCACTGCTGGCTCCGCTGCCCCCACCGCAGAGGAAGAGGAGAGCTGGGCCTGTGCTGCCATCAGCTTCTTTTGTGCTGCTGAGAGGAGTAGAGAGAGCACTGGTCTGCAAGATGCTCAGCAGCAGTCTCTCGCTGCTTATTGCCACAGGACAAGGAGGGAAGAGGCAGATCTCCAGGTGCACCAAAACATGCAGACTAAGGCCAGCCAAGTGCTCTGCAAGCTTTAGCTCCAGGTCTCCCATCTCCCTCAGCCTGAGACAACTCAGTTTGTCCCAGTCTCGGAGGTGGCTGCTGCCACACCACAATGCTTTCTGCATTTCTTTTTCTTTTACTCTCTTACCAACTAGTTTTACCTAAGCAGAAGCAGCTTGTCACATATGACCTTGGCAGTGCAGATAAAAGGAACTGCTGGAGCAGGCAGATGAAAGTACCTGCTTTCAGCTATGTACCCAAGCCCCTCATAGGACAAACTAAAGATATTCATAAAGAAGAGAGATTCAACAGTTCTGTTCTTTGCTTCCTTTCCTTGAAGGCCACCATTAACCTAGGGAGCTCCTCAGCCACACTTATAAATGCAACCTGCTTTCTCCCAAGCTTTTCAAACTGATGCATTTCCACTCTTTGGCTGGAAGGTGGAGACCACATCAACATGTAAGTAATCCTCTGGCTGCCACCGGCACACCACAGGTCTCCTGCCATGCAGAGAACAGGCTGTTCACAGCAGCAAAAACCTCTTTTGAACCCTCAAGCCAAGGCTTAATTCCTTCAAACATTTTAAAAATAATACACACAAAGAGGATAAGGTCAGCATTAAAAACAGTGAAGAGAGAAAAGAAAAAGTAAATCCATGATTATTCAGGAATGTCACATCAAAAGAGAGATTAAAGGACAATTTTTCCAGGGCCACAAATGTGGCATCAAACCATGTCATGCAGTGCTCCTGGGGAAAAAGGTGATACCCCAGGCTGATCTCTGGAGCAGATTAAGGTGACAGCAAGCAGCTCTTTACCCCACAGTCTCCATCCCAGGCTCTGGTCTCCATTCTCATCAGAAACACCCCACAATGTTTCAGCCAAAAAGCTTGCACTGGCCTCCTGCCCATAGCCCTATGAGTCTGATCCCAAACATCTTCCAAATCCAGTGCACTGGAAGAATTTTATTTACTGTTTCAGCCAAGACAACTGCTGATTTTGTCAGGAGGGAAAAGAGTAAGAGAATCATAGAATGCTTTATGTTGGAAGGGACCTTAAAGACAAATCATCTAGTTCCAAACCCCCTGCCATGGGCAGGGACACCACTCACAAGACCAGGTTGCTCAAAGTCCCATCCAATCTTGAACACATTCAAGGAGGGGACATGACAGCTTCACTGGGCAACCTGTGCCAGTGTCTCACCACCCTCACACTGAAGAATTTCTTTCTAGCGTCTAACGTAAATCTACCAGTCCCATTTGAAGAGGGAAACTGGCATCAAATCATTCCAGGAACTTCCTGGATCGCTAATGCCTTGCTGTGTTGTCCTTCCAGCACATGTCAGAGTGGTTGAAATCCCCCACGAGGACCAGGGCCTGTGAACACTAAGCTGCTCCTATAGAGCCTGTATCTGCCTATAGAGGGCCTCATCCACTTGGTCCTCCTGGTCGGGTGGCCTCTAACAAACCCCCACTATATCACCTATCCCTGTCTTCCCTTTAACCCTGACCTATAAGCTCTGGGTCAGCTCCTTTCCCATCCCCAGCTGGAGCTTCATGGACTCCAGCAGGTCACTGATGCAGAGGGTGACACCTCCTTCTCTTCTTCCTTGCCTGTCATTCCTGAGGAGCTTGTGTCTATCCATTCCCATGCTCCAGTCATAGGAACAATCTCACCATGTCTCAGTGATGCCAAAAACATCATAGCCCTGCAGGCATGCACATATCTGTAACTCCTCATTTGTTCTCAGTGCTACATGTATTTGCATGGAGACATTTAAGTTGAGGCCCCATTGGAGCTCTCTTACTGGCTGGGATTACCTTCTGCTGCATTTCAGGGGTTCTCCTGCTGGTCTGTGATCCTTCTCCAGGCCCAGAGTACCTATTAGTGGCATTGGCCTCAAAATGGTGGCAGTGGGATGGACTGAGGATCCCCTCACTCAACAACTCTAATGCCCTCTTGACAAGCCTTCTGCCAAAGATGCTCTCCCCTTTCTCTGAAAGATGAACTCCATCAGCCCCTAGAAGACCAGGTTTCTCAAAGCGAATCCCATGGTCTAAGAAACCAAATCCCTCGCTGTTGCACTACTCCCAGAACCATTTATTGACTTTACCAATATGATTTGACCTTTCAAGCACCTTTCTTTGACTGGGAGGACTGATGAAAAGACTACCTGTGGTCCTGAGTCCTTCCCTGCCACTCCCAGGGCTCTGTAATCCTTCATGGTCTTCACATTGCTCCTGGCTACACCACTGCTGCCCAGGTGAAACAGCAGGAGTGGATAATAGTCAGTGGGACTTTGAAATTTTAAGTAGCCTTTCAGTGATGTTCTTGATACGAGCCCCCAGTGAGCAGCAGAGCTCTCTGGAGAGTGGCCTGGGCCAGCACTTGGCTCTCTGCTGAGGTGTCACCATTCTGCCTTGTTAGTTAGGATGAGCAGCCTTAGCTCTTGCAGACGATCTTGGAGCAAAGCCCCCTGAAGCAGTGACCTGCCTGCACCATGCCCTGTTTGCCCACCCTTGGCGCTCCCTGGGCTGCCTATTCTGGGAGTGGGAGGTGGGCTCCATCACTCCTCAGCAGCCCTCCCACCAGCTGCCCTGCTCCAGTGCTGCCCAGGCTTGTCGCTGGCTCAAGGAAGCTCAGTAAAAGCCCCTTTTTGGTCAATTCCCTTCCTCGATGCAGACATGACTGCACTAGAGTTGTTCACCTCAGCGAGTGCCGAGGGGAGATAAGTTTTTTGGAAAGGATATATCCTTTTGGGAAGCTGTTTAGGGAGGTACTACAGGGATGTTGATGAGAGAGAACAAACATCAAAAGAGATGGAGATGGAGGAAGCACTGCAGGAAAAGCACTGGAGGATGGTAATCCCTACTTGGGTGCACAGTAACTAACAAGTTTTAATCACTCAGAAGCTGATCACCCAGTCATCTCTCCTGCCTTTCTCCATCCATCAGCAGCATTTAGTGTTTCATTTGTCAAACCTCTTGTTTTAAGCAAAAAAAACCACATCACTTTTTGTAATTGCAAGGGCCTCTGCAAAGCCAGGTGAACAAAGAGTGAGGGGGGGAAATGAGCTGGCAAGTGGAAGAGAAACTTCTGCTACAGTCAGAGATACCTCTGATGTGGGAGAGTAGAGGGAAGCAAAAAGGCCTTCTTCACTCATTCCCTCCCCAGTCTGCCTTGACAGCACAGTCCCAGCCCTCTCCCCTCTGCCTGCTCAGTGCACAGGGAACAGAAGCCCACATACCAATTCGTCCTGCATCCTGCAGCTGGATTTTGAGCATCTCCATGGGAGTGGTGACAATCACCTGGCAGGTACCTGCACCACAGCCTGCCAGCATCTCCTTCAGCAGTGTCAGCTTCTTCCTGCCAGAAAAGAAGAGTCAGTCAGAGGAAGTTGCCTGGAGTAACACCAGGCAGCTGAGTGCAGGGGCTCAGGGCACACCTCAGTCCCTGAGGGTTACAGAAGAGGCAGACTGGGGGATAGGGAAACCTGCTAGGCTTGACAATTTAGCATATCCTGGGGTTGGCATCTCTGCTGGCATCAGCTGATTTGGAAAAAAAAGACCCATTTTGGCTCTAGAAACAGAACATTCAGAAAAAGCCACAAACCCAGCCAGAACAGTCCAAGATAGGAGCACACCCAGCACTTTCTGCTAGCCTAGTCCTTTAAACACCATCCACATCTCCATAAACAGATCACAAGGCAAGGAGCAAGGGGGGAAAATATTAGAGTTGCTGCTTTGGAGTTTTCTGATCAAAACAAAATAAACAACTAACATGAGAGTCAGGGAGGCATTTTTCCTGTGGTTAGGAGCTTCTTCACCTCACCAGCCTTTCCAAACCTGAAAAAAGTAGCCTTTGCACTAAACTGATCCTTCCTGAGGGACAACGCATGGACTTCCAGCACTGCAGCTTTGTGCATCCTCTGCACCAGAGAGCAGGGATTATCAGCAATATATGTTCTTGCCTAACAAAATGCAGCATTTCATAGCTCCTTCCATCCCAAAGCCATGAAACAGCCCGGCTAAGACTAAGAATAGGAACTCAGGATGCAAAGGCTCTGAAAGCCTGTATTTTCAGAAACTAATCAGTTTTCACCCTATAAAAAAAATCTCACCCTGTGGCACCAGAAAATGCCAGCTTATCTTAAAAAAAAAAAAAAAAAAAGTGCCTCTGATCTGCTCTTTTCTAAAAGTGAAAAAAAAAGCATCTATAAATCACACAGCCAAAGGGGGAAAGCCTCCTCTTTTTTGTGTGTGTGTGATTTTTTTTTGTGATTCATTTTTTTTTAATGCAAGTACTACTTTTACTCCCCCAGCCCTGCCTCTGCAGCAATACCTCGTCTTAATCTACTCAAGGCAAGTCCCCACACTACAGCAAAAACAGTCACTATGGCAAAAAAAAAAATACTACAATGACACGCTCTACTCCCTTTCAAAACCAAGCCACACTCCAAGGGTTTCATATGCACATGCAGCACAGCTGTGACACTTCAGGCCAGCAAAAGTTTCACTGCCAAGCCTATGGGAAAAGGAAGCTACACCTGAATCCTGCTGGCTCACCGCGTCAGCTGGACTGATTTTTCCAGCTCTCATATTCTCCAGAGAGGATATCAGAGCAGGGGATTAGAGGCAGAGAGCCAAAACAGATTACCAGTGACTAAATATAGAGCTATTCTGTAAGGCTAAAGGGAGGAACATTTCATGGTCTCCCCTTTCCAAATATCCCCATAGATGAGAAACTGCAAAGAACCCACATGGCTGCTGAAGTGTGCACAGCAAGCTTTCCTGGAGGTCTGCAGGTATCAGGGTGTCCAAGTGCAGAGGTCCCTCCTGGTACTGACACCTGGAGGTGGCGAATTTGAGCTTCTTGGGCAGCCTGACACACAGCACCAGTCTCTGTGCAGCTTGACACAATCAGCAGCAAGGCTGCTCACCTCCTAGCTTAGCCATGGGAGGAAGCAAACCACCTAAAGGAGATGGCTGCCAGTCCCCCTCTATGGTTCAGAGCAGAGCATCTCCAACTTTAGCCAGACCCCTGGAGCATCCCTGGAGTACATGTCCCCTGGCTTTCCTCCAGGGCAACCATTTTGATGCCTAGTTCAAAAGACCAGGAAGATTTGCTCTACATGTTCATCTGTGGGCTATTATCCCAGCCAACAAAAGTCAGCCTGACTTCATGGAACTCCATGGAGCTATGCTAGTGTGCCCCAGAGAATGATTTTTGTGTATGGATGTATTTTAGAGGTGTCAAACAGGCACATCAAAATACTGTAGAACAAAGGCTTTCAGCTTTTGATTTACATATTCTGGGAACTCAGGGGAGTCCAAGAAAAAAAATAGCCTAAAGATAAGAAAATCTTTCATCGGGAGATTTAAATTTGCCACACAGGGGTCAAATTCCCTTTGCAAAACCTCATCAGTCTGCACATAAAAGGAGTTTGAAAATGGTTCATCTCCAGATGACACAGGGGTTTAAATATTTAAGGCACCACAGGCCTTATCCTCAGTGGTTTAAAAGCCTACACATCTCAACTAACTTCAAAAGCTGCAACACCAGCAAAGATCTAGTTCTACAAACACAAAAATCATATTTTATGACAGCAAGAAGGTGTTAAAAACAACTTATACAGAATAGCCCCAAATTTTGCACTGGCAGAAATCAGTCATTCCACTTTTTAACTGAGATGCAATTAATGAGTGACAAATCTACAATATAAAATTAGAAGGGGAGAAGATTCATGCTTGATCTACATTAGTGTTTCAAACTAGATCTGAAAAATAAGAAAGTAAAAAAGCAGGAACTAGAGGTTTATGAAGGGCTTCTCAAAAACAATGCATCAGTCCAAAGTTAGGACTGAAAGCATTGGTATAGTGATGTCAGGTGGCAGGAGAGAAGGATTTTTTTCAAGTTTTTGAAAAACCTTGACCACGCAGGAATTGACTGTGCTTGGGCAGGGATCAAAAACAGCCATTCTGAAAAAAAGGATGACAACATTTCCAAAGACAGGAAATCTTCGACCTAAGGAAACATCTATACAGAGCCATACATTTCTATTTGTTACCCAAGAGGCTGCTGTCCCCAGCTTAGACATCACCTTCCTCAATTATATAATAGCCTCTGCCTCTGGTCTGTCTACCCAACAGATTGTAGAAAGCTCCCCAAGAGTTTCAAACTAGAGAGACTCAGCTGCTTTCAAACAATTCAAGTGGGTTTTTGATACAGGGGATCAAAACACAGGAGCTGTCCTTCAAAGGGAGGGCAACCTGTCTGCCACAGCCACACTGGGATGTGCACAAGCTGCCAGGCAGTTCCTATAACCCCACTCCTGATCTTCCAAGAGGGAACAACAAGCTATTGTAACAGTAACTCAGAAAAGCTGGAGCTATAACACTGGGGAATGTAGAAGCAAGAAAGTTCCCTCTACAAGGTCCCTCTCATTTCTAGTGCCAGCTTTGACTCAGACAAGCAAAAGAAAGCACTGAATGTAGGACAGATTCACCTCAAAGTAACATCACCAAATTAAATTCTACTCTAGCAGATGTTACTCCAGGTATGGTGCAACCTACCCCTGGCTGCATGTTTGGACTAAGTCAAGAGGAAGTTGACTCTGTGCCTGCACCCATTACATCAGTTTTCACCTGTCAGGAGATCTCAAATATTTTGTTCCAATTAAAAAAATCTGTGGAAATGAACAATGGACAGGGAATGACGTCTAGGAAAGTTGAACATGGATACAACCCATGTTTTGTCCCAAGACACACACCTGGAATGGAAACAAGGGCAATGCTCCTCTCATGGGTGAATTCTGTGATGAAACAGCCCATCTCCAGCTCCCTCTGGAGTAACAGTTGAAAGTCCACTTACCTTTTGGCTGACCTTTGATGTAAACAACTTTGTTGTAAACAATTCCCTGAACCTCTGTGTGCTAAATAGAGCCTCCCCCAAATAGCTGCCCCTGCATAGGCACAATGAGATTATCAGCTCTTAACTTCTCCTTCTCTAGGGGAAGTGCTGGATTCCCCAACCTACAAGACCTGGTGGGTCGAGTGAGGGTTATATGCATTAAAGAAGTGTCTATCCATTGGACAACCACAAGGGAGGCTGCCTTGGCCTATAAGAGTTTCTGTCCAGATAAAAGGCCAAAGTACAGTGTGTGCATGGTGACACAAGAGCTCAGCACCAGGACTAGCAGCAGCATCATTCTTTCCTAAATCAAGCATCTCTTTACAGCCTGTCCATGAACATTTTGCAACTCAAGGATCAACAAGGCCATGCAATGACTACATAAAGAGATGCAACAGAAAAGATGGTCCAAGTATTTTAAAGTGGAGCAGATGAAGAACGGAGTCCTGGAGAGATATATCATCTGGGAAGGCAGTGAAGAACAAGGTCCAGTCTCCTCATCTGCATGAGAGAGAAGGAAAAGTGCCTTGCTTGTCTCACAAATACAGTTGGCTACTTCTCTTCTCTGAGCAAAGCTACAAGGTAGGGGGAACGAGAAAGAAGGAAAATTAGCTGGCATCAGCAAAGACACAATTGACAGAATCATGCTTGTCTTCCTAAGAATCCAAGCTGCTAAGCCAGCAGATTGCCAGCCTTTGCTCCAGAACAGCAAACAACATGAAGGTGAAGCTTAAAGAGGACAGGAGACATAAGGAAGTAACACACCTTGGAGAAGAGTGGGAGGAAACTTACACAGGGACACTGAAGAGTTTTTATGAGCAAGAAATGGCTTTTATAAGAAGCCACGAGACACTGCAGCCAAGGCAGAGTATTTAACCAAGAACCTGAAAAATTAACAACAAAACCTGGCAAACACATGCTAAACACAACAGCTGTCTGGCAATCAACACTTTGGAGATAAACATTAAACCTTGCAGCACATTTTCAGGAGACTGGTTTTTATTAAGTCTTTAACACACAAATTCAAAGAGGACATAACAAGTAGACAATATTTATCTATCAATCAAAGAGGTCTCACACATTGAGCACTCAGAAATTAACAATGTACTTTAAATGCATGCTGGTGTCCTACCAAATTAAATCACTTTCTTAACTTCAGACCCAAGCGCTGCACTTAGCTGTAGTGACTCCTTTTCTCACATCCTCTGCTCTGGACAATGTAGGTGCTGCTATTTTAACAGCAGCTGTGAGATGGGTCTCTCAAAACATCCAGCTTCAGAAATCCAGAGGGGAAAAAAAACCACAAAACTCATGTGTTTCCAGCAGCCTGAAGGTTTAATTTCCCCTCTCTCTTGTCTCCTACCTTCCCCAGCCAGGTGGTCTAGCCAGCAGAGTACCACAGGAACAAAGACCTGCCTGTTGACTTTTCTGTGGGTCACATCTTCTACTTATTCTTCTGGGAACCACAGAGGCTCTCAGGCCAAAATGATCACAGGGTATTTGACCCTTTCTCAATCAGGGTCACAGAATGCCCCTCAGGTTTTTCAGTATCTTAGTTTTCCTCCTTCCTTCCATGGCATAGCAAGGGGGTTTCCAGCACTCACACAACTCAAATGACCAGGACAGCTTGGGAGGACTAACACAGTTTTGTTTCCTCATTAAACAAGAAGCTGGAGATTGTCATAATGGTCTCGACATCAAAATAGAAACAGACAAAGAAGCAGAACTCAAGTCCTCTAGCCTATGAGCACACATCCTTCCTGCACCAAAGAGAGGGGAAAAGCATTGTATGGGCAGGAATGGAACCCCGAGCTAGGTGCAGGGGGGAGAAGGGTGCTGGAAGCCATCTCCAGACGCAGGG